CGTTTCAAAGCACCAAAGCACTATCATAAGGACACCATGTGTATTCCTCTAGAGGCTCCATGCGGCCCTACCTCTGCCCGGCGTCCACGTGAAACAGGTCCGACCTCCACGCCCCCCCCGGGGGACTCCTCCAGGTGGGGAGGACGATCCTCGGATCCATAGTGCACCTCGCTGCGTCGTGCAGTCTCTCCTAGTCTCTCCTAGTCTCTACACTGGATGAGCTTCTTGGCAGCGCGCTCTACTTTCTCTACTTTAGATGATACAAAATCCAAACTCTCCAAAAACAAGGAGAATCTGTTTTGAAAGAGATCAAAAACACGAAGCAAGTGTTCCGTTAATGATTTATTTTGAGGACTGCTTTTTGGAATATTTTTAGAACAGTACACAATCTCTCTCCTTTTCTCTCTGTGTTGCCACAGCAACGTTGCAATGGCCGGAATAACCCTAAATAATATAGATGCTTCTGATGAAAGCTGTTAACACTGTGACACTGGAGGAATGTTCCCATCAAATCAGTGGATGATAAACACTGATGTGCATTTTTTATTATTCATATAAATATATAATGAAATAGATGTACAGACGGTGTCGGGCATCATCAGCTGCAGCATGTCAGAATGTAAAGTGTTTGTGACTTAAAAGCCAGTCTGTCTTCGGTTTCGCTCTTCTGTCAAGAGGAAGAGCCTCTGCTGACGTTTTAGCCTCACATCTGACAGACACTTTTTCTTTTGAGTTCACAAAATCTCCTTGTTCTCTAAACATAATGGAAGAACAAGAGAAATTATTGGCAAGAACATTTAGATACTGCTCTTAAAGTGATAACACATACAGGAACTGGAGCCAAGCCATACACACAGGGTGTCTGATCAATCAAGTGTACACTATGGAAAAGATAACATAACAAATTAGAAACCAAAATCACACAGCTGATAAGATGGAGAAAATGGATTGGATATTGCAAAAACTAAAACTAAAATACAGCTTTAATGCTTTAAGGGCCAGAACACTGATCATGCTTCCCTCTCTTTCAGTCCTGCTTACTGTGTTTACTGTGTCTGTGTAATTATGTGTATGTATACGAGTACGTGTGTATTTACAGTATATAGACATCAGTAATTTATTAATCTTTTTTATTTTTGTTTCTTTGTTGTGATTAACCTTTATTTTATGTAAAGTCACGAGTTTGTATTCTGAACGAAATGCATCTGTATACGAACTAAGTCGATAAATACAAATAATTGAGATAATTCAACATAAAAAGAGGCTTTTCTCACCTCCTGTCTCCCTTCCACCTCTTTGTCTGCTCTTAACTTAAAAAGCCTAAAGTAGTCATTTCTAGATTACCTCCTGTATGGGTCAGAGCTTTTTGAAAATACAGAAGAGGCCACACTGACTCCACTTTTAATATATTTGGAGAGCACAGTCATTTGGATGAATGGTTAGTGACTGATGAGTCCCCAGCGAAGGAAATAAAAATAAAAGAGGAACAAGAAAACAGTGGAGAAGTAACGGGGCAGAAACCCTCAACACAGAGCTGCGGTCCTTTTTACGCAGCGGTCCAGACATAGACATCAAACGGCAAGACATATTCAGTGTGCAGTTCCTTTGGCATTAGGGCAGGGATATCTAGATACTTCCCAAGGGTTGACATCATGAATTGTGCTACTTTTAAAGCAAGCAACAATGTTTTCAAATCTGTAATCAAAAAGCTCCGCAAAAACGCTATCGAAGCAGTTCCTGCCGTTGCTACGTAGTTCTGATCAGCCTGTTGGGTGTTCTTTTACCCATAATGACCGCCTCGCTGCACATTATCCCTTACTTAATTCATGTTATTTTTAAGCAGTTATAACCTAACTTTACGTTGTTACAGCTTTTTCAGTTGTGAGGTTTTGTTGCTTTTTTGTTTAAATATGTTTGGGTTTTGCATGTGATGATAAATAGTTGAAGCCCTGATATCAAATATTTAATGATAAAACTGATTAGTCAATTGACAGAAGAGAACTTTATAGCATGTAAAACTAGGCATTGATGTATCGCTGAGTCATGCTCAGAGAGCTATAACAGTGGTTGTTGCAAGGTGAGGGGATCACGTTTCACTCAAAGCGTTTGCAGAGCTTGTTGTTTTTCCTCTCAAATATTCTGAAAACACACTGCCGTCCCAGAGGCTGTTGTAATCACATCTACAATTGCATTTGATCTTTACTCTCCTGAGGTCCATCAGGCAGCTTCAATACAGAATACATATCTCAAGGGGACGCACTTATGAGCATATTACAAACTCCTCCAGACGGTTCGATTCAGGCACTCTTCTCTTGTCTGCTAGAACAGAACAAAAGCACACAGGTTTTTCTTTTGTTGGGATATTTGTGACTCTTTTTTAAGACTTTTAGAAAAGAGCTCAGCTTGCAGCGTTTCAAATCTCAGGATGAAAAAAATAAGCAAATCTAAAAAATAAAACATAATCGTTCTATTGATTTTGTCAATCAAATTGCAAACTAAATATAAAAGAGGAGAGAGTAAGGATGACAAGAGCTCATTTCAAATTCTTACAGGTCACAGTGTTGTTGCAGGAAAGCGTGTTTCCTGTCAGACCTTTTTGAAGTTTGAATACATTCTCGAGGGAAATGTATCGAACACAAGCGCAGCCTTCTTCACAACCTCTAAAAAACTGCAGTGATTCAGAAACGTCCTCATTTTCAGCTCTACAAACTCCTTGCTTTATTTTCTCATTCAAAACTGAACAAATCTAAAGAGCACTTGCACCTATAACAGATGAAAGAACTCTCCTCCTCACAGCTCCAAGACATCATTGATTCCTCCCTTGCAGTGACTCAAAATGGAAAGCACTTTTATCTCATCCTTTTATTCACTCCTTGGTTCTGCTTGCACATACCAACTGCCAAATAGTTCCCGTAGATGGGAGAATGATTTGGGAACTGAACATATTGAAGATGATTTGCAAGCATCTATAAACTTAATCAGAACCACGTCTATATGTAACAGACTGAGGGAAACCCAGTACAACATTCTTCACAGACTGTATGTTACTCCTGTCAGCTTACTTAACATAGACTGTTCCATTTCCCCTGTAAGTGTTCATAGAGGGACAAGTTTCCACTGCTTTTGGGAATGTCATTTCGTATCTAGATTCTGGGCACTTATTCCCAGGGGAATAAGTGCGATATTTAAAAAGAAAATGAAGAAGGACCCTGGTGTCGTGCATTGTGTTGTGTTAGAATGTGTCAAATTCAATAAAGAGTATGTTTTCAACGAGCAGTCCTCCCTGTACTGCTGCTAAAGACTGCAGGAAGGTAAACCCTCCCTGCTCTGATGTTAGTTAAAGGAAGTGCAGACACCTTCACTGAAGAGGGTCGAGGGCTCTTGAACTGAAGAGGTCCAGTAATCAGCTCTTCTGATAGGTGAGAGCAGCATTAGATAACAGATAGAGCCTTTGATGACGTCAAATAATCGCTCACTGCTCAAACTAAACGTTTATTTTGGATTGTGGACACATGGCAGCACAAAAAAAGAACAGACGCTACCATTTGAAATGAGGAAAGATGAATTTGATGTAACTGTATTTTGAATTACTGTAAGTAATTTCCTTTACCATATAGTGTTTTAGATTTGCAACCAACGTGAAGTGTAGATAAATAGCTGATTATTTACTTTGCTTAAAGGTCCCATGTCATGCCTTTCTGGTTATTACCCGTCCCCTTGTGTGTTATGAAGGTTTTTCTGCATATAAACGGTCTGCAGAGTCACAGACCCTCAAAGTACACCCTGTAGGGAGTAAAAGTCTAACACAGAGAAGACCTGTCTGTGCTGCCCCAGAACGCCTCGTTGGACATTTCTCTTTTTCCATTTGTTTCTTCCTGAGCATGGTGACGTAATGATACCCAGGTCCAAATGGACCAATCCGTGGAGCTCCTCACACACACACACACATACACAGCCTGGCTGTGAGTGTGTGAGTGTGTGTGTGCTCAGGCTGAGTTCCGCAGTGTCTCGCAGACCCCACACAGCAACCAGGAAACGGCACCAGTAACCCAGCTCACACTGTCCGCTCCTCACAGCAGCGAGCCGCGCAACGTCCCGCCAACACGGCACCCAGACCCCACGCAGCATTCTCATCTGTTTGTCATTACTGGTGTCATTTTCTGGTTGCTAACAAACGCCATTGTAACACATAATCACTGATGTTCCGCTGTAACGGTGGTGGACTCATCAGAACAGAGTGGGCGAGCTGACCAATCAGAGCATAGTGGTCTCATAGGGAGGGGGGGGCAGGAGCTCCAACAAGGCGTTTAGGACAGAGTGAATACACATACTATACAGAGATGCTGTTTGAGAAACCAATGTGAATTTGGAACATTGAACAATGTAAATCTATTCTAGTAGACCTCAACAATGGAATTATGATCAGTAGAACTGGCCATGACATGGCACCTTTAAACTGTGGTCTTTTTATGATATGAAAATGTTGGATTTGTTCACTAGGTTCTACATGCACCCTAAAGACTCCATGAAGACACCTCTTTTTATTGGATTTTAGATTTTAGAACATTTTATTTTAATTCTTATTTTGCCATGTGACCTTATGACTCAAAGTCAATGCAGCATTGTATAACTACACTGGACAGGTACCATTTTTTTATTGGATTTTATTCTACTTTCTGTGAATATGTTTATGGATTTCTCTCCACACAAACTGCTTGAATGTGATTGGTCAACACTACTCTGGACTACTGCATTTAGATGATCAAGTGTATGGATAAAGAAGGGAAGCCAGCGTTGATTGAAGGTGTGCATCTGACAAAACGGTCACTGGCCAAACAGATCATGAGGTTACTGTTGCAGCTTTAAAGCCTTAACAGCAGCGCATTAGTAGACCGTTAAACTCTGGTATGTCTCTCACAATTTCTCGCTTGTTTTCACTTTGCACATCACCAAATACACAACATAATCTGAACGTGTCTGTCTCTTTGTCTGCTGCCTACCTGTCATCATTCTGGAAGCTCTGGTCCCCGAGCAGCAGGTCTCGGAAGCGGAAGCGGGGGGGCAGCGGAGGCACCTCTTCGCTCTCCTGCTGCTCCATGTTAAGGGCAGCGATGTCCAGGATCACCCCACTGCTGCTGCTGTGGGTCTGGAGAGGAGCTGAGGGGGAGCTGCAGGAGGGAGAGGAGGACAGTAAAGGAGCAGGAAGGAAATAAAGGGAGAAGAGGAGGAGAAAGCAACTAGGAGGACAGGCCACGCTGAAGAGACACAAGGAGCAAGGGGTGGGGAAATGCAGAAATCTGATGCGGAAATGCAGAAAAGTAAAGGAAATGGGAACGAAGCACTTTTATACTAATAAAGGACTGGATTACCTAAAGCCAGTTGAGTAGCACTTGAAATGTTTGGCTCTATGAAACCTGATGTACTTATATGATTCTGTTTTCTTCAAGGTTGTGTCTTCCTGGTCGAATGTACTTATTGTAAGTCGCTTTGGATAAAAGCGTCAGCTAAATGTAATGTAATGTAAAGGAAATGGGAAAGAAAAAAGATAGCGTCACAATCTGAGAGAAAGTGTTTTCGCCCGGTGAGAAGTCTCTGAGCCTCGGCGCCTACTCATGTAATTATCCTGAAGGACAGACGTGTGACATTGGTGACTGCAGATGTTGAGTCATCTCTTCCAGGTCTTATCCAATCACAGTCTGTGTATCATGCAAAGAGAAACACAGTACAGTGGGATGTGTGTGTGAGTTGGTGAAAGGAATCACATAACTTAGAAAGCCCAAGTTGAGAGATGTTTTACCCTAAATCTTTTGATCAACTTTAGAGTGTTTTGCCTTATACCTCCTTGCATCCTTTGCTTGAATATTGCTCATCAAGGAGATGCAACAGATGTATTTTACGATTCAAATGAAATGTTATGGTGTTAAAGACTGCTGATGATGAGTCTCCAGTAAACAGATCACAAAGTCTTATCAGCTCTAACCCTCTCTCCCCTCACTCTGCCTGTTTGCTAAAGCCCTCCATTAAGCTTGTGACTGCATTAAAGATGAACGCTACATTTCCCATGAGGATAGTGAAATCCATCCATCAAACAAAAAACCCAAGAGCGAAAGTCTCATAAAACACACCGGAGCTTACGGGTCATTTAAGGCATCCGAGTGTATCACAAGAGAGGAGACAATATGTTAAGAGGTTTTATGGTTGCAGATTGTATGGCAAACAAAACATCAGCTTGTCTTCCTTGGGACCTTCATGGAAAAGTAACACGAACGTCCCAAAGAAGAAACAGATGCAGAGTTGAACACATTACAACATTATTTAATATGTTGAGTTTAGTTGAGTTGCATTAGTATATTTGCAGGAGATAATGGTCTGTACTGACAGCTGGGACACAACATGGTGACAGCAGAACATGAGCACACAGTGTATGAATGGAGCTCTGCAAATCACTGATACAACAAAAAGGCATGTTTTCACACAAAACAAAGATATGTGTCACTTGTCACAGTTTCTATGCATCTGAAGCATGACTAATGTCCACATGCATTATGATACTTAAAGTTTGCATCCCGACTTGCCCCTGTGTTTTCTCTTACCGTGGCTTGTGGTCGTTCACGGTGCCATCGTCGTGCACAAATGTCTGGTTCACGTAACATTCACTGCACATTTTGGCCGGAGATCCGGCGCTGCCGTCGGACTGGAGAGCTTCGGTGGTCGGCGTCGAGTCCCCCTTTACAAAGTCTTCTTCCTGGGTTAATTGCATCGGAGGGTGATCTGCCAGAAAGGAGTACAGACCCGGAGAGAAGGGAACAAACTGGTGATAACTCCTTCGTTTTGGATGCTCCCTTCACCTACTCAGGTGCATGTTGGAGGAAGAGTTGTTCAGCACACGCAGATGGAGAGGCTGCAAGAAGTGACCCCCGGCTGAGGAACTCAGTCTACAGACCAACTCAAAGATACAAATGTGAAGATGTGTCAGTGAGTGAGGCTGGTAGGAGGGGAGCAGAGAGGTCTGCAGCAGGAACATACCGGAGCTGACTGAGATATCTGAACAACTAATCACATAACTGTTGAATTACCAAATTCACCCTGGAGCTCAGAGAGGGATCAGCGCCACCTGCTGGAGGACAGGAGTCTGTCCAGTTCTCTGGGTGGAAACATCAGTTCCAAATGGGAACAATACGATTAAGATGTCACACAAGAGAAAATGATGTTCAGCCTAAAATGAATCACGAAATGACATTATTTTAAAAAGCACAGCTGATTCAACACTTCAATAAAAAAACACTATGAGCTACAACAGGTTATTATTCACCCCAGTGCTTATTGTTGTTATTATGCAGACCTATCTATAAATGTAAAACAGAGCCTAAATCATGTAGAATCCATAGCAGATGTTTTTTACAGAGAAATGTGTTGCAGAGATCATCCCTCCTGACCTGTCACACACATGAAACCCCAGAGGAGTCTCATGCTCTCTGAACAAATATGATCCCGAGTTAATAGGCTGCTCTGGGGATAAGAGATCATGCTGACGGTGCATCATTCAGTGTAGTACCACAGCCTCACTTTGGTCAATCCTAACAAGAGAAACAGCTGACATGTTCAGACAAACTGGGTGTACAAATGTTTTGCAACATTAAATGGTTTCAGTGTCTGTTTTAGAAATTCATCTCTCAGCAAAGAGCCAACATCACTAAGCGACAGTGATGAAAATGAAATAAAAATATGTGAGAAGGGAAAGAAGCCGAATGACATCACGCTCACAGAAGTGAGAGAAGGAGAAATACACATAAGATGTCAGGAGGAAAGATTGACTGAATGGAGGTTTCATTTTTTTTCTTCTTTGCCTATTTTCTATGCCTGATGACGCAAACTGGAGAAAGGAGGAGACGTGGGAGAGGAGACTGATTCACTGAGGTGATGGTGGCATGAGGTTGAAGAGTTTAAACATCATGATGGATGTTTGGGATTGAGTCAGGCTGTGATTGGAGTGGGAAGTATTTTTCTTTCATGTTTCTGCTAATAGGAGTCACATCGGTGATATTATCCCAGCAGGGGGGTTGTGCCAGCAGATTCAAAGAAAATGTTGTATATGTTCATAGAGCCATGTTACTTTTATATAATTATTTGGGTTATTTTCTTAAGGTTAGCCTACTTTTAATTGTCATAATGCAAAACTTGGAGGATGTGGTTATAACACAAGAGAAAGCCTGAACCTGCACAAGAAAATATTGTATGCAAGTATTGGCATCAGCATCTGCTTAAAGGGGCCTATCCTGCTCATGTTCAGGTTCATATCATATGTTGTGCCTCTACTCTTCATGTTTCCATGATTTAAGGTTCAAAAGGTTTCTTTTCACTATCTCTGTAAAGCGACTTTGAGCACCTGTAAAAGCGCTAAACAAAATAAATCTATTATATTATTATTAAAAGTCTTCCTTTTTCTCATACTGCCTGTGCTGCAGATCACTTATATTTGCATTATCACCCTTGTTAGATATGCGTTATATGCTTTGCCACAATGTTGACATCATTTTCTGACACACTTTACATTTAACACTATGCATGCACTTACCAGTTACGGGGATCAATACAGGCTTTTCTTATCATATCTTACCAATCAAAAGCATTAATGTATGAAATTCAGTGTTGAACAACACAACAGTATCAGTCTTTGTGATGGGCTGCAGGATTTGAAAGAGCTCAAATGTCCAACTGTATCCGGCACATCTTCCATGATGGCCCATTTGATTCTGAAATGAGCCTCTAATGAATACTTTTGCTTTTGGTGGGCTTTATTTTGATGCTAATAGTGTGACATGGTACAGTGTATGTTTGCACTATATCACTACTTCCCACACTGATGGCCCATCCGCCGCCGACTAAAAGGTGACCTGTAATGTTAATGAAGGGTTTCAGGCTCAACAAACTGTGTCAGAATCACTGAGAATACCATGACCAATTTGCTCAATAAGTTTCAGTATAGTAATATTTCAATGAACTGATTACATTAGATTATACTCAAATAAAAGAAAGGCTCTGTGTGGGAAGCACATTTAGACTTTGTAAATACTTTACAATCAGTAATGGATTTCTCTTTCAGTTATGTACAAGGCAAGGCAAGTTTATTTATATAGCACCTTTCAACACAAGGCAATTCAAGGTGCTTTACAAAAATGAAAGACATTCAGACAAAGGCATTTAAGATATTTGTTAAAAATGTTTTAGCCTAATTCCCCTGTAACGGAAATATGCTATTTAAATAAACATTCCTTCCATACAATCAAATATGATAACACTGATTTAATAAACACAATATTTCGTCAACTAATCTGGTTATGAACATGTGTTTTAAATTCCACAGTTTCAGTCAATATTAAAGCAGCAGCCAATATCTTAACATCCAAATCAAGCTGAGGAAGATCATAATGTGAAGCTTACATTTCAATTGGAAAGAGGCATGTGGTCGTTTAAGTAAATACTATTTTATTTCTGTTTTTCAGCGTTCATCGTTATCAACAGAACATAACAACTACTAGGCCTATCTATACCACTCTATACTGCACATTTGTGGTCAAACTACAGAAAATAAAGTTTACGGAAACTTCAAGTAGCTTATAATGATGCCATGAGAATATTGCTGAAGAGACCTCGATGGTCTAGTGCAAGTGAAATGTTTGTGGCTGCAGGAGTCAATACTCTACAAGCTGTTTTAAGAAATCTTATGTATAAATGTATTTGCCGGCTTAATGACTCTGATAATGAAATCCTCTTGGCCTTATCGAACATAAGGTTTAGTACTACACGCTACCAATCTCAGCTGTGGAGACATTGGTATAGTTGTCTCTTTGTAGGACACTGATTTAAAGTATTCTTAAACTATGAATTCTTTTTATGCTGTGTATGTAATTTATTATATGTAATGCCTTGTCTTTTATCTATGTAATGTCTTTTATCTGGACCCTGAGTCTGTAATAAAGTTTTCATTCATTCATTATACCTTCAAGTCAACCTGATCACTCAAAGAAAGGTGTAATTATTTATATACATTTGAAAAGAGAGGAAAAACTGGTTTTCCTGCACACATTAACCAATCACAAGGCTGTGTTGGAACACACCCACTATTGTTCGCTATCATTTAATGTGCGTAAAGCGGCTATAGCTTCACAGAGCTGAGGATCACCAAACAGCAGAGATGACTCGCATCAACAGAGAGAGGTCGAAAGACATTCGTCTGATGAGGGAACATGGAAAATCCACTCGGGAGATCCAGCAGCATTTCGTCAGCCTGGATATCAACATTTCCCTGAGCACTCTGCGGAACCATTTCAGGGAGAAACCAGCGCGCCGCACCGGGCCGCGCAAACTGCACCGGTGAGAACTTTATTTAAAACACTGACAAACTGAAACGGTTACTTTGATTTAATGTATTATGCTAACACATTTCACACAACTGTAAAAGGTTAGTTGAAAGCATTTAAAAGTATTGCTTCCAATTAACCTAGCAGTTATGTGATGACATTACACATTTAATTAATGTCAACGTTTCAGTACATTTATTAAACCTATTTTCAGGGTTACATTTGAGCTTCCCCTTCCCTTGCCTAGTGAAAACCACTTCCTTACATTTGTAGTAGCAGTGTGGTTGGTTCTAAAGTAACATACCTGTTTTCAATCATACTCCACCACTGAGGAGCAAAGTTTACTTGATGTTAAATTACTTAATTGTCTCCCAAAGTAAGATCCTGGCGGCTATTGATGACCACACAAACAACACGTTGAGTCCAAAGGATCTGCAGCACCTCATTAAAGCAGATTTTGGAGTTCTCCTCGGCAGGGTCGGCTCTAGAACAAATCAAATGGGGGCCAATCATTTACCAAGGGGGGGCACACACTGCCGTCAACAACCAACACACAAACACCAACGCAACTTCAATTTCAAAAAACATGCTGTAAAGTCTATTGTCTTTCACACACATTGCAGGGGTAGTGCTATTGTATAGCGCACCTATGACTTGTGCAGACATGCACGGTTGTGGCACGACCACCAAAACAGAAACATATGGACATAGGCCACCATATAAAAGGGTGCAAATGTATTTAGTATCCTATCCATGTGAACATGTTTTAGGTGGGGGTGGACCTCACCTCCTCTAGGAGGGTCTGGGGGCATGCTCCCCCGGGAAGATGTTTTTTAAAATATTGAAGTTAAATGCATCAATCTGGTGCACTTGAAGAGATCTATGGATACATCTCTCAACATCCATATGAAACAGAACTGTACACAGATTTACTTTTTCTTTATAGATATTTTACTAATCACTCCCCTTTTAAACTGTATTCTTGTGTTATTGTCCTATAGTATTTCATACCCGTTTTTCATTTATTCTCTTATTCTTTAATAACTATAATGATCATATAAAGGTAGCCTATTCCTCGCAAATACTTGTTTACATAAATGGTGACCAAACCGTTTGAGACCCACTGAGTTGCAGTGGGCGACATTATTGTCACAAGTAAGAAGGAAATTACATACCTAGGATCTATTCTTGAGGCAAACCTCTCCTGTGACAAAATGGCATCCAATGTAATAAAAAAAGTCAATCAAAGAACTAGATTCCTATACCGGATCTCTATTAGAACGAAATCTAAAATGAAAATTGTAAACAAGCAATCTGTATGTAAAAAAACCACCTGTATGTAAATTGTAAATAAGCCATCTGTATGTCAAATATGTCTTATATGTCTTAAATGACATGATGAATTGGAAATGGGGGACCCTGATGTAAACAAGACGAAAGTCTTTCTCTGGTCTGCATCCCCTTAACAATTGTATGTTTTGAGCTGTACTGTACTGTACCCAATATACAAGCTGTTAATAAACTTTTCAATCAATCAATCAATCAATCAATCAATCAATCAATCAATCAATCAGATAACCTACACTAAAGTGAACTATCTAAACACTGAGAGAGTCCTTACCTCACTGAGCTGAGGTTATACGATCCTCTCAGTCTGACAGGAGAGGACTCTCTTCCACCTTGGTGTAGAAACAGCTCTTTATTCCGTTAGCATAGCTAGCTAACCAGATGCTAACAACAGCATTCCACGTTACCGCTCGCGCACTGACAAAATGCGCTCGTGCCACACACACACACAGAGCCGAGCTTGAATGAAACACAGAGACCCAGAAGTAGGCTACTTGTACTGTACTGTATATCATATTATTTTCGACGGCTTTACTGTATAATCAGTTTAACAGATGAACAGATCGCCACCGGGCTTTCATCTAAACACACAGCCACGTAATGATAACCAAAAAAAGGTCGGGGGTCATTGGTCAAGCAACACACCAATCAGAGAGCAGCAGTGAGCACACCTCAGGCTGTGTTTCATATTTGTATTCTTTATTTCTGATGTATTTCACACAAAAAACTTTTAGTGGAAACGTTTTAACTTATATGATTATAAAAAAACGGCAAAGTGGCAATAAGGCTTGCCCACCCTGCGTTGGGGGGGCACAGTGACTCATTTGGGGGGGCATGGCCCGCGAATGACCCCCCATGACGCCGACCCTGCTCCTCGGCCTGAGCACTATGCATGGCCCGCAGGAAGCTGGGCTGGAAATATGAGAAGAGGGGCTTCGCCTCGAGGACAAGAGATGAAAGCCAAGAAGAAAGACGAATGCAAGAGCTTCAAAGGAGCGAATGTGAGGAGATGTTGCAGGATGAGACAACAGAAGATGAGGACCAATCTGTTGTCAACAGTGCCATAAAGCTCGAAGCAAACAATAGAAGAAGGGGGGCATCCATGTTTTACAAGCGTAGACGACGTCTTGCAACACAGGTTAGCAAAAATACCATAACTCTAGAATCAAGTGCATAAAGTGTTGTTTTCTCAATGGGACTAATCATTTCTTTTTTTCAGGCTTCCATAGGGATTGCAATCCGTGCAATGCAGAGGTCCTGCCCGTACCCCCCCCCCGACAGCTCAGAGATCTGTGAGCTGAAGAGACGTCTGAGTGGCACAGAGCAGCAGGTTGCATTCCTGATGTCTTCTCTGGAGGAGATGAGCTCCTCGCTGGAAGCCCAGACACGGAATCTTCAGGAGCTCCAGGATCAGTGCAGGCTGAAACAAACCCCCCCAGCACCCCAGCAGCTGGACCCCAGTACCCTCACCAGGAGGAAGCTGTTCATGGTCAACACAGAAGAACCTCCACCTTTAGAGCCAGCGGCATCCAAGCCTGCTGCCCTAGCTAGCTTCGTCGCTACTACAACAGTGCCAGGTCCCACGCGAGTCCCAGTTTCCACACCAGTTCCAGTATCCACACTAGTCCAAGGTCCCAAACCAGTCCGAGGTTCCTTGCCAGATGTGAAAATCAGAACCGTTTCTCAAGCGCGCGAGGAGATACTATACAGGAACTGTGTTGTGAAAGGGGAAGCTCGTCCTGAGGGGTATGCTGCTCAGCTGTTCATGGCTCTGACTCCATTTGAGGCCTACAAGAGCTGGGCCAAAAAGACAAACTGGAGCGGGTCCAACGGGAAGATGGCCATCCCTCACTCTGTGAAGCAGAAGCTCGAGTTCTATGTGTACCAGAGGTTTCCAATACTGTCAGGGGATCAGTGGCACAGGATCAGGAACAAGATCAACGAGAGACTGAGGAGCCCCCGAAAAGTTGACCCAGAGGCCAAACGTCTTGGTTTTGGTCATTTCTAAAGCGCTTTTACAACCCCTTAAAGTACTTTTACATTTACAAGGCTGCCATACAAGGTGCTCATATTGACCAAGCTTCCCACACTCACTTTTATAAATTGGCCAACCTATGTGGAACAATCTGGGGTTAAATACACCCACATGTTAACTACAAGGGGGGGTAGGTGTTTGAACCACTAATTTTTCGATTGGAGGACGTTCAACCCAAATAAACCTCTGTAACTAATGTTTGTACACTGTGTGTAATAAAGTGTTAAAAGGGACTCTTTATTGTCTGTATAATTATTTGAGCTGAGTTATATAAAGATAAAGGTTTTAAAAAGCAGATTAATATAGAAAATAAGAGTTTGATTCTGGAAGATGTGAGGATGGTCCATTAGGTGCGAATAAAAATAACTGCTCATATGCTAATAGGACCATTAGGGGCTACATTCCAACAGTCACGATACAATACAAATGCACTTCCAATTGAAGATGATCACCTAAAGAGGTGCTATATACCCATTTGTAAAGAGGGGGAAGCAGACTCAGACAAAATGTCAACAATAAGTATTTTGCCATGTTTCTGTCCTCACAGGGCAACAAAGCTTCTTAAGAATCACCCAGGTTCAATCAGGTTATTTTATCTCCCATTGTAAAGCATCCTTGGGTTTCTTGAAAGGCTATAAAAATCGAATTTATTATTATTATCAATTATTGTTACAAGATTTTATATTTAAATCAAATTACAGACGTGAGACTAAATTTGTACTTAAGAGAAAAGCATCCTCAATTACAACATTACATTATTAGTTATACAAGTTATTTAGTGTGGTGTTTCTTTCTTTTTCTAGAACTGTTTTTCTGGGTGAACTTTAGTTATTCAATCATTGTACAAAATCAAAGTAAACAAACACGTAGGGCGTCAGAATGCGTCTTCTTTATTACAAAAAAATCCTTCCGTTTAATTAACAAAAATATTCGTGACACAAAACTATTCTGAAGAAATAGTAGTGTGGGAGTCTGATTAATGAGATTAAAAAAACTGTAAAATATGAGGGTATGGATTTGTGCCTGAATGGTAAACATTTGAGCGTACATCAATTATAAGCCTCTTGCTTAATGATTGCTTAAGTACTCAGTAAAGACTCAGTAACTAATCGTGTGTTAAACATTATGTTCCTACAACACCAATTATAATAACCACTCAGGTTCAATTGATTTTGTCATATATTATAAATTCACTTATTAATATAATCTCCTCAATCATACCATAAAAGTTATTTTATTTGGTACCAAAAATTATATTAATGCTGTTTAATAAAAAACAGCATTTTTAAAATGTATCACTTAACAATAGCCGAGTATAAAATGTTGACCCACAGTTAGATTACACAAGGCACTTACTGAGTACTTAAGCATTAAGCAGAAACTCTGATTGTTTCTGAAGAAGTTTCTGAGTGTTGCATCAGTCTGCGCCCTCGGTGCTGACGGCGGCCACAGCAGAGATGTAGTACGCCCCCTCTCGGAGGTAACTCTTCAGACGGATGTAGTGCTGGCTGCCCAGGATCTCTGCTGCCGTCGACGAACACACCAGAGAGCCCACCAGATCAAACTTAGCGTCTTTAGCATCCTTTGTCTGCCCCGCGGAACGATCCAAAATAAACTCCATGAAGCTGGGAGTGTTGATCATCAACTTCTGACCCCACAGCTGAGTGGAAATGGCCTGGAAACACACAAATACACACGATGAAGATATTACTGCAGCACTGTAAATAGCATTATGCAAGACTAAAGTGGTTTTGGCGCAGTGGGCTAGAGCGTTGATCATCAGATCAGGGGCCGTTGATCAGTTCGAAACCCGCCTCGGCCGCCACTGAGACAAGCCGTTGTGTCCTTGGGCAAGACACTTCACCCCAATTTGCTTCTGTGGGTATTGTCCAGAGTATTCACTGTTACATGTCTAATATGTGTAATATGTAATGTAAAGCATTTTGAGCACTCAGAAAAACGCTCTAATAAATGCAATGAAATATTATTATTATTAAAGTCTTTCAACAGTTACAGTTCTAGTCTTTGTTTTTGTATGGGTTATTAACGGGTCAGTGACACAGGGACAGTGTTATAAACAGCTGATTACTCACAGTAAATACCCGCATGGCCCCACAATGCAGCTCTGGGAACGGCTGAGTGCTGATGTTGCGGATCATGTCCATGGGCTGGTTAGACAAAAGTAGGAACCAGGACTCCGTCAGGGCCAACAGGTCCTCTGTCTGCTGCTCCGGCTGCAATAAAACATAATTGATGGATAAGTAACCACTTTTTTGCTTCAGAAAATGCTTTATTTTTAAGGAAATTACTTAAGATTATGATTATTTTTATACCTGTAGAGTGAGAAGCTGTGATATGGCGTCCAGGCTGCGTACTCTGAGCTCTGTAGCTCCAGCGCCAGCAATCTTACTCATCGTCAACCACACAGCCTTAAACCTTTCTCCTTAAAACAAACAGACAAACGGTTACAAAGGTCCCATAATGAGAGCTACAAATACAAGAGGTTTAACCCTCTGAGAGGGGGCATTGCTCATTTGTTTTTTATGAAATGAAACCTGGGAGAACTTCAGAAAAAGATACCAAACTAACCTGTTTTGTGAAAGACCTGCTTGCCCTCCACAGTAGATCCGAGTAGTCCCAAAGTGTCCAGAGCCACCCCGATGATCGCAGGGTCCGGATCCAGAGCCATCACAAACACCTTGTTCTGGAAGACCGGGTAGGTTTCACACACCTGCTGCGGGCTGTCCATGATGGCCAGGTTTACGAAGAACTTCACCAAACCTACAGGAGTTATATTCAGTGTGTATTAAATGAAGGAATACGCCACCTAAACATAGTATTCGTGTATTTTCTGAGGGCAGTTTTCTATAAGAGACTCACCAGGAATGTAGAGTGCAGAGAAAGGGTCGGTGTCCGCTCCTTTTATCATGTTGGAGACCTTGTCCATTATTCCCTGCTGGGCCAAATACTTGCGACCATGTTGAGTGTGCGCTAGAGACGTGACCATCTCAATGGATGTAGCTCTGGAGAAAGAGACAACAACAGATACACATTAACAGAATGTCAGAAAAGTAAATACTGTGGAAGCAGTCAGGCCAACTTGCATCAGTATGTAGCATCACTTATCATGCAGTCATTTCTCAGTTGCTTTCTCTTATGATTCATTTGATCACCTGGTCAATACATCGTCTCCTGTCAGTTCTCCAAGCAGCTGAGCAATAAAGCCGCTTTTAGCGCAGTAACCGAGGGAAATGGGAGATGCAGACGAGATTTCCACCACCAGCTGCAAGCAGAATGTAAAGTATTTGTCAGGGAATCAATAGGAGAGATGTTATACATGTGTATATTAATATTACTGATTCTAAGATTGCACGACATTTCTACACGTGATACGTCTTCATTTCCATCAATTCCATTAAAATAAATATACAGTAGCTTGCAATATAATTGTCTGTCAATCAAACAAGTGACGTACCTCATATATCCTGTATCTGATGATGTCACTTGTGGCCATCACATCCTTGATGACTTTCAGCAGGTCGGTTTGGAACAGTTTGTCTAAGCCGGGCTTGGAGTGACTCAGTTTGGACAGCGACTGAATGGCCTAAAAAACAAAACAATGATTGCGCCCACTCTAGCATCATTGAAAACCCATGCAACATATCTTTGCTTGGGTCCTTACCTGCTTTGCCACGTCCATCTTCTCCTCCCCAATGCAGCAGATGGTTGCTGCAAGAATGTCGTGGTTGTTGAGGATTTCTGTGGAAGCTTCTGGATGCTCCACCATTCGACCAATCTGAGAAAAAAACATACATGTTCAAGGTGAGCGGTTTAAAAGCAACACAATATATTTCTGTGCTGTGTGCCGGCAGCCTACCTGCGTCAGAGCCAGTATCTTGACGGTGTCATTAGGGTGAGTCAGCCCGCCCTGCAGCTCTGCCCTGTAGCTCTGGGCCAGGGTCACGGGGCCCAGGGCCAGTAAGATGCGTTCAAGGATTCCCACACACAGCTCAACCTGCTCCCTGTAAACACAGCTCGTGTCAATAACAACTCAACTTATCTCCTGGGACATTTTGAATAAAAAAGACATGAATATGCAAGGAGAGGCTGTTCACAAAATATTAGTAGTGTAACATGTAAATGCAAAAACAAGATGTACAAATGATAATTATAAAGATGATGAATGAGATGATAGTGCAAACATAACTGTGTACATTATGATAATAATGGCAATGAAATAAAAATCAAGAAGAATAAAAGAAAGGTATAATGCATTGTTATAACATTGGTGCATGGGGATTTAAAGACAATTATTAAATGTATCTAACTGCTGCCTTCCAATTATTTTCTAAATGAATCAACAATCCTTTGGTCTATGAAATGTTCCTTAAAAAAAAGAAAAGTACCATCACAAAAACTAAGAGCTTAAACTGGCCTATTTAAATTGCATTAAGGCCTAAAGTGTGTCTATCATAGTAGACATAGATAGTAAAACCAGCAAGTATCCACATTTAAAAAAGTAAAACATTAGCATCGTGTTTTTATTGGTTGGTTCTGTAATCAAACATAACTTTAAATTAAGCGATTATTTACGTTAGAGTATTTTGTCTTAAAAAAAAGCAAAGGAAGGGTGCCGCACAGTCTAGATGAATTGATAATGTAAATCTCAATATCATATCAAATAAACAGTAGTGCAGTCAATAGAGGTTTCTCAATACTCTAATTTCCCCTCCTCGACTCCTCGGTCCTCCGGTAGTGACCCGGAAATGAATTTCAGCGTGCCATGTTGAAGGACATCTAATTTCTCTAAATGCACATCGAGGACCGAGGATCGAGCGTCGAGGAGGCTCTCTGGAGGAGCTCTAACCGAGGAGACACTGATGGTTCCTCCACGGCTGGGGGCGTGACGCACGGCCGGACTTATCTCAGCCAATGACAGCTCTGCATGCATCCCCTGGATATTATATTAGAAACTGCTTTCATCGCGATGCGATGTTTCCAGAGAGAACAGCTGTAAGGTCCGTGCAGAAAGCAGAGCAGTGTGTATAATATATATCACTCAGTATAACAGGCCTACTCTCTTTATTTGCTTTAGTTTAGTAGATATCTACAAACAAAGAGTCCATATTTTTCTAAGACCATTTAGTGCTTCACATAATAAAATACACAACGGCTGTAGCCTGATTATGCTTTAGGAGCTGTAGGTGTGTGTGGTACAGTGTGT